ACCTTGTGGCTGTAAATTAGAAAAGCAGTTGAACACTTAATGGGCCATAGTATTAGGAAGGAACATGGAAGACAGTGGAACAAAGAGCTATTTGAATTGTGAGGGGCTTGCTCAAGAGGTTTCAGAGGAGAAAAATTTTGGTATGTTGCCTAGAAATCGTTCCTGTGATATTTTGGTGAAGATGTGACTGCCTGTTGTCCTTGTCCAAAAAGTCTGCCTGAGCCTAAAGTGAAGATTTTTGGACTCATTCTTTTGGCAGAGGAAATCTCAAAACAGCCTAATATAGACTCTGCCGTGTGGATATTAGTGTTAACTCTGATGAAGATTTATAATGAAAAGGAACAGGCTGAGCAAGTGGAAATACAAACTGTACCAACTGAGAGAAGGGGCAGCAGGAAGTGGAACAGAGCTAAATCCTGTATTCAAGGAGATAAACAGATTAAGAAACTGGAGAAAGGGAGTGCTGACCTCAGGACGAGACCAACCCTAGGGGGGGGACTTGATTGGGGGAGGGGGAGGGAAATGGGAGGCAGTGGCGGGGAAGAATCAGAAATCTTTAATAAATAAATAAAAAAATTACCTCAGAAACTCAATGATTATCAAGAAAAAATATATATAAAAGAAAAGGGGGATATAGTATAAAAATGATTAGATAAAAGGTGTATTTTTGAGTCTACTTTTGAACAACCACGAGTATCAAATATTTACATTGGTATAATATTTTGTATACTGACACAAATTTATTTTTGTTATACCGTACATATGTTTCTACTCTTGTTTAAGATATTGTACCCATGCAGCTCATTTAACAATGTAATGTAAATTTTTAGTCTTTGAAAATTATTATTACAAACTATTTGGGATAATAAAGAAATGCAGATTAGCATTTAGACACCTACAACAATCAAATGTGTAGTCAAGTTAAGTATGTTTTGAAGGTCAAATAGAGATATATTTTAGATAGACAGGTGGTCTTCAAACACTTCAAAGACTTACAGAATATGGAATTTAAAATGATTTAATAACAAAGCTTTTCATGACAGTGAGACATGTCTGCTCCTGACAGTACCAATTTGTTTAAAAGACAATGACAGGCATCAAAGGACTTCCACATAGAGTTTGCTTTCATTTGTGTCAAGGTTAGACACTGGGCAAAGAAATTGCCCTTGCCTCAACTGCTGACAAAATGCTCTCCAAATTGGACAAACAGAACACAAAAGAAGACAACTGCCAAACTTTGACAAGACAAGGTAGGGAGTCCTTTAAAAATTCCTGCTTCACTGAAAAGTCTGTCAGATATTTTAGGCCTCTAGGCCAGTGATGGACACTCTAATATTACAGATGAACCTTGGGTGAGTGTCCAGGCAGCCAACTGTTTCTGTCATCTCTATAGTTTTGGAAGTTGTTTCCTTTGCATTTCTATAGTTTCAAAAGTTGTTTCCTCTGCACTTCCTGCTTAGTCAGATAATATTATATTCTTCTCAGGTCTCTGATGGGGTTGAAGACAAGATAGTTATAGTTATAATTTTCTTTGTTACCAAATTCAGAAAAGAGTTTCTTGAAAATTGTTCTTATTGCATATAGTTTTGCTTTGTTGAAGTTAAAACTTTCCCTTTTTATTTGGACAATACCTGATAAATGTTTCTATTGTGTATAGTTTTACTGCGTTAGAGTTAAAATTTTCCCTTTCTATTTAGACAAAAAGGGGAAAATGTTATGGACGCTTCCTTTATACTGTGTGAAGATGTGTCACTATGCTTGGTTTAATAAAGAGCTAAATGGTCAATAATAGGCTGGAAGATGTTAGGCAGGACTTCTGGGGAACAGGGAAGACTCAGAGAGGGAAAAAAGTGGTGCCACAGAGGGAACAAGACATGTGGGAAAGGTAAAAGCCATGAGTCAAATGGCAATGTGTACATGAATAGAAACGGGTTAATTTAAAATTATAAGATCTAACGGGACAAGCTTAAGCTATAAGGCTGAGCTTTTATAATTAATAATAAATTTCTGTGTCATTTTTTATGAGCTGGTGGCCCAAAGAAAAATTCACCTACAAATTACCCTTCTGAAGAGCAAAGTGTACATCCATATTCAGTCCTGTGCCCTGTGGTGCATGTCACCTATGCCCCTCACCTCTTTTGCCCCATGCAGGTTACAGTAGGATTGAGCTGCTCTACTTGTGGTCCCAAGCTTTATTGAAATCGTTGGAGTGTTTGATATTAACAATAGTTTAGAATTAAGGAGAGAAATTTACAAGCTCCTGAAATACTGCCAAGAACCAGCCATATAAATCTTAGGCAGACCTGCGGTACAAGGATTGCTTTTCCGTCTTCCCAAAGTTTCAGATACCTTTGCTACAGGGAGGTGAGGGACTATAGACAGCCTGGACAGCTGAAGGAAGCCTGAGGTGAGGCAAGCTCAGCCTGCTGTAAACATGCAAAGCCCGGTTGGAAAGGAAGAAAAAGTGACAGCCAGTGGTACCCTGTTATCATGACCTCTCTTTAAGAGCAAACCTCAGAGAGTCCTCCCCATCTGTGGTGAATAAGTTGCTGCGATTGGCAGTTATGGCACTGTGCCTGCAAATCGGAGGTCAGCTTTTGATCACTGAAGCTTTATATAGAAACTCCAACGCTGAAAGAAATGTAAAGAGCCCGTGCACCGAGAAGTCTCTGGGTAGCTCTAAACGGCGTAGGAGAATATGAGACCATGAAGAGGGTGCTCAGCCATAGGTGTGTATTTTCCAGTCTTTCTATTTGGCTTGACGAAGGGGGGGTAAATGGAAGGACTGCAGACTAGCTGGGGCTTCACTGCAAGGGATTGTGAAATCATACGGTACGGGTATGAACAAGCCTTAAAGTGGGAAAGAATGGCGCAGAGCCAGGTAGAAGAGCTAGGAAATAGCACTGCTTCGTGTAGAGTAAGGATGAATGTTGATTCGTGTCAACTCTATGTGGCTGGTATGTGTACATACATGGGGATGTGCTGAGTTGAGGTCCTCTGCCCACCGTGAAGCTAATAAAACATGTTTGAGGACCACTGTCAGAATTTAGCACTTTGCCTCATACTTTCAGGATTCTGGATTTTTATTTTACTTATTTATTTATTACAAAAAAAGGTAAGATGAAAACTTTGGCAACTCAACACTGAGTTTTTCAAAAATGTTTATTCTTGGGGGAAGAATTCTTGATTAACTATTGTGGTATAAAAAGAAAAAATCTTGCCAGGCAGTGATGGCACACACCTTTAATCTCAGCACTAGAAAGGTATAGGCATACGAATCTCTGTAAATTCAAGTCCAGCCTGGTCTACAGAGTGAGTTCCAGGACAACCAGAGCTATACAGAGAAACCCTGTCTCGAAAAACCAACAAATAAATAAGTAAGCTAAAAAATAGAAAATAAAGTAAAATCTGAGGTACAAAGAAGCTGCCTTAAAAGGTTGGATAACTAAATAAGAGATCTATTTCTTGCTGGACTTGGGAGAAAAACCCTCATCCGATCAGCATGCGTATGAAAGAATCTGGGGGGAGGAGGTTCTAGGCACAAATGATTGCTGGCTTAACTTGGAAATGAGAAAAGTTTCCAGACCGGTTCTCACACAGCACCAAGACCTCTCCAGAGTCAGAAACTTCCAGTCTCTGTTTTGTTCCCTGCCCCAGGGAAAATCTCCCTATCTGATTTCCTGTGGTGACTTAGCAAAATCCCCACTCTGGAAATAACTGAGGAGCAAGCGAAACTCTCAGAGGACTCCCTTCTGGCTTTCATTTAATGTGTGATGACTTCTCCCGTCCTCCTCACTCCTAGGACACTGCTCCCTCTGTTTCCAAGTGCTTCAGCCCGGAAGCTGCTCCTGCTGGTGCTTTTTATCTTTGTTTTCTGGGTGGTCTTCATGGCTTCAAAGGACCACACAGAGGTAAGAATGGTTTCCTATTACATAGTCTCCCAGGGAGTGTCGGAGCGTCTTCGCTCCAATGCTACTCTGAAAATACAAGAAGTAAACGTGAAAAGCATGTCACTCTGGCAAGGCTAGGCAGTGTAAGAAAGGTTTCTGCTCTCTCTCCCCTTGTACAATGTGTGTACATAGGTGAGTGCTGCTTCTTCAGTGGCAGGCGGATCTGTGCCTCTTTTTACTGCTTGGCTTTGCCATCTGCCTCCAGATTATCTCTTCCTATGCCCGTAGAGGCTGTAATCCAACTATCCCTGTTTCAGTACTTTCCCTCCGTCACGTAGGTATTGCTATTTTTTTTTTCAGAGTCCACTTAGTGCTGCTCAGATTTCCTCTTTCTGCTGTTTATTTCATTTGATTCCCCATGTCTCCTCTCCCTAATCATCTTTAACTGCCTGCTCTTCTCGATCCAAACGCGGTGTGTCTGGTGCAGATGATTGCTGACTCGACTCCACCTCTTTGCATTTCTCTCGCTCTGCTTGACTTCTTTTTTGGCTGTACTTTCCCCTTGCTGCTCTACCGTAGAAATGATCAAAAATTCATTACATCCATTGATTGTTGTTTATCTTCACCACCATACGCTAGCCCTTAGGACAACAAGGATTTTGGTATGTTCTTATTTGTTGCCACAATCCCAAGCCAGACACATATCAGATGCTAATAAATAACTTGTCAGTAACAAAGTAAAGATAGGTTTTTCAGTGATCTGACGCAGGAGAGAATTAACAGTGACTTGAGAGAAGGTGCTAGTAATGAGGAGGGAGGGAAGCCACCCAATTTAAGACAGAATTTGTAATCAAATGCCAGGGGTTTACATCTTGGCAATTACAGAGTCCAAAAGTACAAGTTAACCATAAAAGGGTGGAGAAAGGTATACTTGCTGCAATCAAGGAGGACGCTGGCATCATTTGCAAGACAATGTTCTCTCTCAATGAAGGGCACGTGAGGATTTTATTTGGGAAACGTATACTTAGTTAAACAGAAAAGTCGGTGCAGAAGCAGGCATATTCTTGGATTGCCCAGTTTTAAGATAGAAACTCCCAGTTTAGCATTGCAATAAGCCATATTTACTTCACATTGCCTTTAAGAAAGAGTCAGATTGACTTAATGACCCTGGTTGGTTCCTCATGAGCATCGACAAGGTGTTCTAGTTGACATGGAAATAAACAACTCTGCAAGTACATACAGCCTTTTTTTTTTTTAAAGAAAGATTTATCCATTTATTATGTATACAGTGTTGTGCTTGCATGTATGCCTTCAGGCCAGAAGAGGGCACCAGATCTCATTACAGATGGTTGTGAGCCACCATGTGGTTGCTGGGAATTGAACTCAGTCCCACACAGCCCGTTTTATTTTTTATTTTATTTTTTTTAGGGAGGACTTTTTCTCCTCTCTAAGCAGAGGAGTCCTAGTGGTGCCTCCTCCTACTGAGTGATGTGGAACAAATTTGTGATTCCAACACTCAGGAGGCCAAGGCAAGATCATGCCCTTGAGACTAGTCTGAGCTACATAATAAATCTGAGACCAGCCTTGGCTATTGTCTTAGTTAGAGGGTTTCTATTTCTGTGACAAGACACCATTACCATGGCAACTCTTATAAACAGTTAATTAAGGTGGTGGTTTACCATCATCATCATGGTGGAGGGCATGATGGTTTGCAGGTAGACATGGTGCTGGAAATATCTTAATCAGAAGGCAACAGGAACTGAACTGTAACACTGGAAGTAGCTTGAGTATAGACTAACTCAAAGCCTGCCCCCACAGTGACACACTTCCTACAATGAGGCCATACTCACTCTGTTGGCTGAAGTTTCCGCCTCCCCCCTAGTCCTGCAGCTGTTCAGTCCCAAAAAAACACACAGAGGTCTATGTTAATTATAAACTGGTTGGCCTGTTAGCTCAGGCTTCTAATTATCTCTTACATCTTAAATTAGCCCATAATTCTTGTCTATGTTAGCCACGTGGCTTGGTACCTTTTATCAGTGAGGCATTTTCATCTTGTGTCCTCTGCATTTGGGTGACTACTGCAGACTGACTCTTTTCTCTTCCCAGAATTCTCCTGTTCTTGTCACCCTGCCTCTACTTCTTGCCTGGTTACCCCATCTATACTTCCTGCCTGGCTACTACCCAATCAGCATTTTATTGAATCAATACAATATAAGTGACAAGGGTCTTTTACCCTGTAAACATTAATCAGTTGTATTGCTTTAATAAAATGCTGATTGGCCAATAGCCAGTCAGGAAGTAGAGGTGGAGTGATGAGAACAAGAGAATTCTGGGAAGAGGAAAGAGTTAGTCCACAGTCAACACAGAGGAAGCAAGAGAGTGCGCACAGGCTTTATAGCTGCATGTGTAGTATAAGAGACCACACCCAAGTGGGCTGGTATCTTAAAGGCTATAGGCTGAAGGAGCTCCCACAGCACCACTTCAACAAAGCCCTACCTCCTAATAGTGTCACTCCCTTTAGGGGCCATTTTCTTTCAAAGCACCACATTCCACTCCCTGGACCCCAAAGATTTGTAGCCATATTATAATGCAAAAACACATTCAGTTCAACTTTAAAGTTTCTATAGTATATAATAGCCTCAAACTTGTTTCAAAGTCCAAAGTCTCTTTGGGAGACAAATGACAATCTCTTAACTGTAATCCCTTGTAAAATTAAAATCAAAAAGCAGATCACATACTTCCAACATATAATGGCACAGTATATATTACCATTCCAAAACATAAGGAACGTAGCATAGTAAGGAAATACTGGACAAAAAAGGACTGAAAACCAGCTGGGCAAACTCCAAACTCCACATCTCCATCTTATGGCAAAACTCTCTTCAGATCTCCAACTAAGTTAAGCTTTGTTGACTACAACCCACTTCTTTCTCTTGGGCTGGTTCCACTCTCTGTTAGCAGCTCTCAATGGAATTAATCCAAATCTCTTCTCTTTAGCCTCAGGTAGACTCTTCAGACAAAGGCAAAAACCAGTCACATTCTTCACAAAAATGATCTCTAGGCAACATACTACAATTCTTCTCTTATGATGATAAAAGCTCTTGAGCCAGTCCCTGACAGTTCAAATAACTTAGCACCACTGTCTTCCTTGCTCCTACTAGTAGGCCATTTAAGCAGTGCTTAAAGCATTCCACTGTTTTCCTAACCCCAAGTCCCAAAGTCCCAATTCCTCCAAACAAAAACATGGTCAGACCTATCACATCAGTACTCCAGTTCCTGACACCAACGTTTGTCTTAGGGTTTATATCGCTGTGAAGAGACACTATAACCATGGGAACTCTTATAAAGGAAAACAGTTTGTTGAGGTGGTAGCTCACAGTTCAGAGGTTCAGTCCATTATCATCATGGTAGGGAGCATGGCAGTGTACAGGAAGACACAGTGCTGGAAACAGCTTGATAAGAAGACAACAGGAAGTAAACTGTGACATTGGGAGTAGCTTGAGCATAGGAGAACTGCCCCACAGTGACACACTTCCTCTAATAAGATGATACCTACTACAACAAAGTCACACCTCATAATTGTACCACTCCCTTTGGACCATGTTCTTTCAAACCACACAGCTACATAGTAGATTTGGGATCAGATTGGGGTACATAGCAAAACCTTATCTCAAAACAAAAGAACAAAATGGTCCCTTGAAGCATTAGTCAGGTTTCTCTAGAGAAACAGAACTTATAGAATCTATCTATCTATCTATCTATCTATCTATCTATCTATCATCTATCTATCATCTATCTATCTATCTATCTATCTATCTATCTATCTATCTATCTATCTATCATCTATCTATCTATCTATCTATCTATCTATCTATCTATCTATCTATCTATGGGATTTGTTAGAATGGCTTATAGGCTTATTAGGCTGTGGTCCAGCTAGTCCAACAATGGCTGCTTACCAATGGAAGATCCAAGAATTTGGTAGTTGTCAGTTCATCAGGCTGGATGTCTCAGCTGGTCTTCAGAATATGCTAGAATCAAGCTCCACCCTCCTACTTCACTGAGGGTGGTTATTTTCTACATCTCTCATTTCCCCTCCTAGTTCTTACCCGCCTAGAGAAGTGTGCTCCTCCCCAGGGCCAAGCTTGTCAGCTGGCGTTCTTCTCTTGCCTGTTATCACTTGCTGTGGGCTGTTTGGACTGTCTTTATTTTAATCTCTACGTTGAAAATGGCAAGAGCCAAAACGAAAAGTCAGTTACCCGAATGTATGTGTTTGCTTTTGTATCTTTTTCTCAATGTCAGGGTGGTCCAACTGATGATATGTATTAAGTATTGGTAAAACCCAACTTGGCAACTTTTAAAAATAACATTTATTTATAGCAACTTAATTATGCACACAAGTATACTTTAAATCTTAGTTTTCATGTATCTTTTTTGGCAACTTTTTGGGACCTTCTGCAGTATGTTTGAGATTTCTGGTTTTGTTCTTAATTCCTTCTGTTTCCTTTTGGAACAATCCTTTATTCTAGAACAAAACTAGTTTGCTACCTCAAACTCTTTAATCTAAATGCAATTATACAGAAAAATATATTTCATACCTATAACTTTCTATATATCTTTTTTAAAAATTCTGTGGTCCCTTTTGGATCTTTCTAAACTTTTTTTGTGACAGAACTGAGAAAACGGTTTTAATAAAATTTAACTTTATATTCTGCTAAAAACACAGGAAGCTGAAACACAGAAGGCATGAGTATTGTGCCTTAAATATCGAAGGGTTGGTAAAATACAATAGCGGTTTGGACAAAGTTCTGTTCTCTTGAGAACAGATTTTGATTAATTATTTGCTAGGGATTTGAGTTCACTTGAAACAGGCCTTAGAAACCAACCGCCTTTAGGAAAGGGTATTGACCCTTCACTTGGGTCCACAAGGCAAGCAAAAGTGGGGTGAAAACCTGGTATCCAGGAAGAGGACAAAACTCGAGAAGCAAGAAAAAGTGTTGAAGGTCAAGAGAGAGGCTGGAGAAAGTCAAACACAAAGTAGCCCTTCCTAAAGTGTTTTAATTCCAGACCGTGCTGCCAGGTGTTAGGTTTGCTCACCTGGGTATCACCCCAGAGCTAAACACCTTGACAATTTCTTGGGGGAACAATCAATCATGCATGCAAGAGAGCTGCTTAGAATGATAGGGATCAGTTCTTGCCACATTCCATGTGCCATGGGTCCTGGGATGTTGGCTAGGGGCGGTGTGGGAATGAAGAAAGGGCAGACATACAGACACCATACAAAGGAGATGGGATCGGGTGGGCCTCTCTAACTGCTTGCATTACCAGTACTCTTACTGCTATTCCTACCACCGCAGCGCAGCCTGGAACCTCAGCATGTTTAGTAGGTAAAGCATGGAGGAGGGGTAGCTCGTCTTAGGAGGTCTCTGTGGGCCAGTTCTGTAAGCATCCAGGCAGAGGAAGCTGTGGTTGTTAGACTTTGAACACATTCCTCAGTCATTCATAAACACTCAGACTCAGCCTCCCAAGGAAACCTTTGTCACCCCTCTTGAGCTTGGCCCACACAGGTGATTATGACTTTACCAATTACCATAGGCCAATTAGTTCTAGAGTCCTCTGCAGGCTAGGCTAAGCACATGTCAAAATGCCCATTCGATCAGGACTTTACTCATTCTGGGTCCCCCCCCCCCCAGGTTTTTGGAGATAGCTCTCAAGGGAGTCCTAGCTTCAGAAAACAGAAGTAAAAGAAGATAAGATGCAAACCCAAAGTACAATGCAGAGCAGAGCATAGAGGGAGTCGAAGGACCTCACTAGCATGCTTTAGAGTTTGAGCTTACGTGGGTCACTTGGAAAGATGCTGGGAGCATATGACAATCTTATATCAACCAAGAAATAAAAAAATTAAAAATTAAATGAAAAAATTAGATGAAGAAAATAGACAATTTAAAAGAGAAAATAGATCAGTAAAACAGTATTTAAATAAAAATGAATTTGAAACGTGCTGATATTAGTTAGAAGTATCATTTTGTACAGTAGCAAAATTCCAACTTACTTCATCTGTTAAATCTTCAAGTAGTTGTGTTGACAACACTCCACAATTAACCAAAAATATTTAAACTGATGGATTTGGGGAGGGACGTTTAGTCTTCTGAGACACGTGAGGATAAGCCCCTTCGCTGGCTGAGCACACAGCTATCCAAAGTCATCAAAGATGGAGGCTGCCTGGTTCTTTCAACTGGGCAGCTGTCTAATTCAATGATATATGTGATGCCATACAATTATCTTTTACACAATTACTTTGTACCAGAACTATTTGAAAACAGGTTAACTAACACTTTGGGACTACTAAAAAGCAAAACTCAAATGATCCGGTGGACAAAAACAGTAGCTTTCTGACCCTGGCCCCTCTGTGCCATTTTAACATGCTGTCACAGGACCCTCTGTAAGCAGGGGAGTCTCCCAAGACCTGAAAGGATCAGAACTTAGGGTCGTGTTTGCTTTCCACTAATTCATCATTCAGATGCTTACAGCAGCATTTATTGACTGGTAAGTAAATGTTTCACTCAATTAAATCTTTCTCTTGGCCTTCTAGAAAGGGTCATTCACTATAACCCTTCTAATTTGTTTGCTGTGATGACCAGTGAGACAGGTAGAGCATGAAAGTTAGCCTTATATATGTTGCTGGTGACAATTTAAAATTACCATAGGACATACTTGACAATCGGGTGTGGTGACTTACACCTTTATCCTGGAGAAAGAGGCAGGTAGATCTCTGTGAGTTAGAGGCCAGTCTAGTCTACAAAGTGAGTACCAGGACAGCCAGGGCTACGCAGAGAAACCCTGCCTCAGTAAAAAGAAGGAACATATTTGGCAGTCAAAAATGTCACCTTCGTTGACTGGTTGGTAGTTAACTTCAGTGACATGATTGTACAATCTCATTCCCAGGAACACACCATAAAAGATGCAATGCTGTATATGAAAAACTGGAGAATGTCCAAGTGTTGTATAAAATCATAATAAGTAAATATATTCTGACTGTTTAATGTCATAGGGTCCGTGGCCCAAGGTGCTTTCTTGATGGGGTACAACAAACTCAGTAAAAATAAAGATCACAAAAATTATTTAGCAAGCTTTAAAAGTTATAGTATATAGTATAATTGCAAAAGCTGCTAGAACTATATTTGGTAAAATTGCAACTTGGTAAAAATGCGAACGAGTGGTAAGAGATGCAGTACTCTAAAATAAAATTGAGGCGAGAATATAATTTTAAATATTTGCTTTGTTTTCCAGACTTTGTATAATATGGTGAGATGATTTTCATAAGGAAGAGATAGATGAAGGGATGGCAAGGTGAAAAATCCTAGGGCCAACAGTGAAACCCATATTTATTATACTGACTTAGTTTTAAGCCAATGAATGATTCCGAAGGAAAGCCTCTGCCAGCAGCAGTAGACACACTATGTGGCAATCAATTCCTCTCGTTCCCTAACTGAAAGCGAATTAGAATTGATTTCGAGCCGGTAATCTCATCATACTGAAAGGCATAAAACGGGTCATACTAATTTATATCGAAAGCATGCTTTCTTGACTGCGGTTAGTAAATGTGTCTTTTTCAATACTTCAGTTTTTGTTTCACTTTAACAACCCCATCACTCTGAGACGATGGCACATCTTCAAGGGGTTCTTCCCCCCGGAAGGGCTTCAGAACGCATCAACCTCATCAGCAGAGGCAGAGCTGATGGTCCTGGAGATCCTGGAGAAGTTAAACCAACAGATCCCACCTAGACCCTTCACCGACCTCAGCACTACCACCAGCGCCAAAGAGAGCACCGTCACCATCTTCAACCCCCGAGACACATACTCTGTAGGCGACCAACTGGATGTCCTACTGGTAGCCAAGGACTACTCTGGTCACAGGAAGGAATATGGTGGGGACTTCCTGAGGGCCAGGATATTCTCCCCAGCCCTGAAGGCAGGAGCTTCTGGAAAGGTGACAGACTTCAACAATGGCACCTACCTGGTCAGCTTCACTCTGTTCTGGGAGGGCCCCGTCTCCCTGTCTATTCTTCTCATGCATCCCAGTGAAGGGGTGTCAGCTCTCTGGAGGGCACGGAACCAAGGCTATGATAGGATAATCTTCACTGGCCAGTTTCTTAATGGCACTGCCCCTGTCTTCACTAAATGCGGCCTGACCTTAAACACAAATGCTGAGCAGTGTCAGTACCTGGATGCACGGGATCATGAAGCCTTCTACTGCTTGAAGCCTCCACACGTTCCCTGTGAGGCCCTGACCCATATGAAAACCAATAATAATAATGTCTCCTACCTCAGCCTTCAGGAACAGTTCCTTTTCCGGAGGTAAACAGGGCTTCAAATTCATTAAGGGCTACCAAAAGGTAGACTTTGAATCTGACCAAACCATTGAGTACATTAACTTTGACTATTCAAATTGTCATGTCTGTGTTGCCTAAGTTACAATTAGGTCCATCCTCCAGAGGTAGCTCATCTGCCCTGCTGGGTTACCTCTGGTACCCTTGGCTGAAAGGAATACAGCCATAATGTGCCTTCCACAGTGTGTCCATCTTGTTTTCCACGGTGCATGATAATTCCAAATTCAGTAATTCTTTCTGATGCACCAGTATTGTCTATAATGTATTTATAAAATAATCATCCCACGTACTATTAATTAAACGAGTAGGATCGTTACTCGGTCTACTCTGCCCTTTGATCCAACCAACCATCAGATCCTATAAATTGTCCCCCTGAACTGTGTCCTGAAGCCTCCTCATGTCTATCCATCCCTGTTGCCTCTCTCTCGGATGAGCTCTCCTCAGATTTCAGTCAGACTGTGTCAGCGATCTCAGGGGCTGCTCTCTGAGTTCTCACTCGTGTTTCTAAAACACACATATATATGTATGTATTACATATATTATTACGTTAATAATATATAATATAATATATAATATACTAATATCGATGAACTCTTCTTTGCCTAAGACCACTGGAGGCTGCACAGCTCTAAAGATGAGCTCAGACTCTAAGCTGTTTCCAGGCTACTTCTTTCGCTTCCATGCTGGTTTCCTCTCTGCCAACCAAGGCGAACATTTATTTCACCATTGCATTTCCGAGCCTTGGGTCAGCTGCTGCTGTCTCCAGGAAGTGCTCCGTGTCACAGGGAGAAGGACTAGGCCTGTGTTCCTGTTGCATGCTGTTCTTTCCCCACATAGCATTATACCGTTCACCTTCTGAGAAGCGAGAATTGTGAGCATAGGCTTGCCATGCCCGAGCATCATTCGTTCAGCCACTCCATAAGTAGCACTTTCGATGTCCCAGGCCGAGTTCTAGGGAATGGTCATTCTCGCAAGACAGGAACAAATAAGTGAATCTGTAGCAGGACACCCAAAGGTGACACTGATACTATTTTAAATACTAATCGGGTCAGACACTACCCCCATCTCACTTTCTCTCTGTGATTAGGTTTCCTCTTCAACCTTTTCTTGAAACCTCTACCTCACCTTCAACTTGTTTTTCTCATCAAGGTCTAAAAAAAACCAAATCCCTTTATCTAATTATTTTGGTCAAAGAGGTTGGTCTTTTCCAAATAAAAATTTTACTAGTAAGTAATAAAAATAAGGCCTGTCTAGAGCAGCAACCCAAAGGAAGTAAAGGGTTGAGCCATGTGGGCCTGGGGGAAATACGATTGTCAAGAGAAGGAGGAGGGTCCAGAGAAAGAGCATGCTGAGGGCTTCAGGAACTGTCGACAGGGCAGGCGGAGCCTCAGAAGTCATCTGTGAGCCACAGGCCTAGTTCAGTGACATTAAGAGGGTCTCAGTGACTGTGCTGACTGAATGAAAGAACAAGTCATATGCGACCTGAAAATGACAGAATAGATCACCCCCTCCCGCTCAGAAACGTGAATGTTTGTCCCTTAAGCCAGGTCCTAATAGTTCCCAGGCTGAGCTGGTGACTCATTTTCAGAACCTGCAGGTCCACATTCTGGGAACTACTGCTGTCGGAAGGCCTGGTTTTCATACGTCTCCAGCAGAGTGAACTGGACAGGCTAGAGCTCTGGAAATTCACGTTCACATGTGACTATGAACTCTTTCTCTTTCCAAGACTCCTTTTCTCCCCTCCCTCAACTTCATTTGCTTTCTCCTCAAATGCATGGGGAACCCACACCTTTATCTTCTGAGTGACTGGGCCTTTTTTTTTTTTTTAAAGTTTTTGTTCGTTTGTTTGTTTGGTTTGGTTTTTTTAGATAAGGTTTCTCTGCAGCTTTGGAGCCTGTCCTGGAACTCGCTCTATAGACCTGGCTAGCCTCGAACCTACAGAGATCTGCCTGCCTCTCCCTCCTGAGTTCTGGGATTAAATGCTCTCAAACATTTTTTTAATTTGAAAAAAAAAAAAGATGGGACTGGAGAGATGGCTTAGTGGTTAAGAGAGCTTCATGCTCTCCAGAGGATCTGGGTTCACATCTCAGCACCCACATGGTGGCTCACCACCATCTAGAACTCCAGATCCAGGGATCCAGTGTCATCTTCTGGCCTCCATGGGCATAGATATACATGTAGGCAAAACAGCCCCACACATTAAAATAAATAAAAATTACAAGTTACAAACAGAAAATGAAAAAGGAAAAAACATAGGACTAGATCTTTTTGTTTTTGACTGTCTCAGAACCATCTCTTATTCTCAGAGTTGAGTCATTTGTATATAATTTCTGTCTGTCTCACTGGCTTCATCTCCTCTTCTCTTAAGGCAGACTTCATTAGGCCTGGATAGGAAGACCCATCCTGGCACAGCCTCCTGCTTATGTCTCAGAATATCCAGAGTTCCTGAGTGGCTACAAACCTGTACGCAACATTAGAGGCATTTTTCTAAAATGTAATGCTTGTACAGATAATTATTTAAAAAGACACATTGAAATGAATACATTTATACAAACAACATATATTTTAACGCTAATTTTAAGACTCGATCAAATTTGGCCTTTGGAACCAAATTGACAAAGTGTCCAGGTCTTGTTCTCTTACTTTTTCTTATTATATTTGACCTCACTTGGGCTAGATGAACGATAATAAATGCTAGATTGTAATATGCATTCTTCTCACTTGACCCAAAAACCCCTTTCTTGGGATCTGAGCAATCCTCTCTCGGTGTTGGACAAAGTCCCCTTTGTCTTCCTTGGAGGTTTCTGCAGCGCAGCTTCTGCAATTCCTACCTTCCCTCTGCTCTGGCTCTGGACAGTGCCACCCTCCGCCAGCTAGAATTCATCCTTTATCAAGTGATTTTAATTCATGAGATACCGTCACCAGCTGAAGTTTTAGAATTGATACTTGGAGGCGGTGCTTACTAGGCTAGACATCTGAAATATTGGGGCAAAGCAGAGTGACCTCATCCCTATTCTCAAGGAGCTATCAGACCATGGAAAGCAGATTCCCAGTGGAGTTGAGGAGGTGAAGAGGAAATGAGGGTGAAGCCAGAGAGGGAGATATGTTTAGGAGGCTTTATGTGGCCTGATCTTTATTCTATAGACCTTTGAGGGAAAGTCGTATAGAGGTTTTGTATAGGGTAATGAAATAGGCTGGGCTTAACCAAAGGACCAATACAGTGATATAATAACCTAGGTTAGTGTTGTCAAAGTGATGTCCTTGGACCAGTAGCTTCAGCTTCACCCAAGAAGTAAAAGAAACAAGCTCGTCAACTGAATTAGAAATTCTGAGAGTGAGGCTCTTCAATTGGAGAAACACTATCCCAGGAAAAGTTTGGTGAGGCCCTGGATTACCAGAGGTAGCAAAGGGAAAGAAGATAGTTGGCATTAGATGATCATACAGGAGTGCCCAACCCTGGGACAGTGTAACACGTGTTGTGGTCCACAAATACGTCGGGCCACGCTTCTACCTTAGAATGCACGAACCATCAGGTGGGTCATGCCTGAGGGCTAAAATTAGGGGCTGAGTAGACAGACAGGGAGATGAGATAAACAGATACATAGATAAATTCGGTTGATTGCAAATACCTAAGTGACACCATGGATTTGCCGATTCCCCCCACTATTAGCAAAGAAACCATTTTCTAAAAATATTGGTCCATCAATTTCATCAGAACATCTTAAGTGTCTCAAAATAACAACAACAACCTCTCATTGAGAATTAAGAATGCTTTAAGACGGACTCTCAAGGTCTGGACAGATGTCAGGCTGACTTATCCTCCCGTTTCTCGAAGGGCCAACATGGCGGTTGAAATGGTGAAGAGTCTGAGCATCACAGTCTTGCCGGGAAACAACAGTAAGTCCTGTGTGCTCTTGACACTGTATTCGCAACTAGCTAACGGAAACAACTGCCTTACTTTGTGAAACCTTTGTTCTCCCTTAAACACTTTGAGCTCTGATTTTCTGGGCGCTACCCTGGATTTCATGCTCGAAAGATATTCTTTAAATTTTTTAAATAGATTTGTTTTACTGTATGTGTTTTATTATTTGAGATTTATTTTTGTGTTATGTGCATTGGTATCTCACCTGCATGTGTGTCTGTGTAAGTAGTTGTTCAGACAGTTGTGAACTGCCATGTGGGTGCTAGGAGTTGAGTCCATGCCCTCTGGAAGAGCTGGCAGTGCTCTTGACCACTGAGCCATTTCTCCAGCCCGATTTTGTGTGTTTTCTCTGCATATACGCATGTGTACCAAGTGTGTGCAATACCAGAAGAAATTAGAAGAGGACATCGGATCTCTTGGAACTAGAAGATGGATTTGTGCTGTCTTGTGGTTGTTGGAATTGAACCCATGTCTTCTGCAAAAGAATCAAATGTCCTCAACCACTTAAAATATTTTCATAGCAGTTTTCATCATGAATAAGATATATAAATCTAGGGAATTGTAGCTGCCCCACTCAAAATGTCCAGACTCTATGTATTTGCCATGAGGGCTATCCTCCAAAGTCAACAGTTGGGTTCTAGTACCGTGCTAAAATATTTCCAAAGAACTGGAAAACTTCAGGCCATTTCTCCCTTGGACTCTAATTTTCCTTTCAGTCAAATCACGCCCCTTAAGATTCTATGAGCTAGCAATTTCTATGACTCACCTGTCTAACACGTGGACTTCTGTGTCTCATACAAAGTTAACTTATAAAGTGTTGCTGTTGCCCTGGAATTTAAGTGAGTTTCAGTAAAGTTAATGACTTCCATACCAGTCAACAGATAGACTTTGACCCATTACCCCTTTTTCATGTGTTCAGTAAAAGTCCAACAAGGGAGGACTTACAGTTTAGAATTAACTGTGCTAAACCCAGGGGAGAGCATAGATGGAAATAAACCATGGGTCCGGATCTGCTACCACGGTCTCTACTTGGGCACCACTAGCCCTGACCAATTTTTGTATGAAAGAAAGTTCTAAGACTTTTGAGACAACTCCAGTTGTCTCCGCAGAGGAGATCACATCACATTTCTTGCCTAGACTGAGATTCTACTAAAATCAGCAAGTTTCTCACAGAATAACGCCAAGCTATGGTTGTTGGCATTATCATCATCATTGCATTAGTGATGATTAGAGCCACTAACGTATCTGCTATATGTATTCCAGTGTGAATAAACGTAAGTCCCTAACTTATTCCCTCTGCCCCAAAGATGGAAGCAGATGATGAAAATGTGCTTTTCAGGTGCGAGTATTAAAGCTGCCTATTCTAGTTTCACCTGCTGCTGTGACAGATGCTATGACCAAAAGCAACTTAGGGGAGGAAGTTCATCTGGCTTAGACCTCTAATTTCCAGCCCATCTTTGAGCGAGGGTAGGAACTCAAGCAGAAACCGGGAATCAGGCCTGCTTAATATTTCACAAAGAATTACCCCCCGGCCAAAGAACTCAGTTCTCAACCAAAGAGGTACAGCAAGAACTGTGGAGAAATCTGCTTGCTTGCTTGGGCACAGGCTTCTGCTCTGGTAGCTTTCTTCTACAGCCCAGGGCCATCTGTCCAGGGAATGGTGGCACCCATGCCCTGGTCCCTCCTACATCACTTAATAATCAAGGCAGTCCTAGACAGACATGCCCACAGACCAAGATGATCCCAATGACTCCTTAGTTGAGACTCCCCTTCTCAGGCGATTTTATTCTGTGTCAAGTTGGCAGTCAAAGCTAAGCAGTGCACCTCCCTGGGTGGAACATTTAGTATAAGTTGAGGAGCATGGCCTCAGCTATGTCAGTAGTGGACTGTGAAGAACAAGGAGACCATGGCCCTGTTTGCAGAAGACAGACCTCAGTGAGAATGTTATGTTTAGTCTTAGACACAATGGAATATTTAAAGTGTTATTACTTTTAACCAGAGAATGTAATTTGGACACAGACAGTGTGGGGCTCTCATTTCCCAAGTGTGTCTAAACTCTTTCATAAGCTAACAGCTTGAGAATAAGGAGACTTGAAGTTTCACCAAGGCCAGGGTCATTGTTAAAATATACGTCTGGACCGTTGAACCCCACTTACACTTTCTTCCCAACTTTGGTTTGCTGTCTCACCTCCAAAAGGCTCTGGGGATGAGGTAGATCCCAAGGAAACACTGCAAAGACTCGGGAAAAAGATTCCTGCTCTAAGAGCAAGTACCTAGTGAGAACTTTTTATTCATCCCTTGAAGATGATTTCATTAAATAAATATTTGTGGACACAAGGGAGGCAGACATAGAGTATAAAGCAAAGATAGAAGAGAAAGAGGATGAGGGGCGTATTTTAAATATCTAAAATATTTTGTGGTAATAAAAATGACTGAGTCTGGGATTTTTGTTTTTTATTGCTAGAGAATGAAACAGAGAAAAAGAAATGTCAAGTTGGAATGAAGACTCCTTTCCCCAGTGGCTATACTTTCAAAGGGAGTTGGATCTCGACATTTTGTGAACAGAAGGAGTTCAGTAACATAAACGACATAAATAACTGCTTGACCAGAAAACTGATTTACCTCATGGGTGATTCCACACTGCGCCAATGGGTGTACTACTTAAGCAAAGTTGTGAAAAGTATGTCTTATTTTTAGTTTGAAATTGGTCAACTGTTAAGGAGTTTTTTTTTTAAATAATCTTAATCAGAATTCTTTGTTTTCCTCTGATCTTTATTTTATAATTGCTTTCAATTTGGCAAACTTCTGGCTTTAAGTTGGTTTCATTTTTACAAAGGGTTTATTAATTCTTTTTCTTTATGTCCATGGATGTTTTGCATATATATATATCCTGTGTATAGTATGCATGCAGTACCCATGGAGGCCAGAAGAGGTCATCAGATCCCCCAGAACTGGAGTTCCAGATGGTTATGAATGACCACGTGGGTGCTGGGAATCTAACCTGGGTCCTCTGGAAGAACAGCCAGTGCTCTTCATTGCTGAACCATCTCTCTAGTCCCAGGCTTAAGTTTTAATAAAAGTTATATTTTAGCTATTTAATCACAGATACTAGCACCACCTTTTCTATTGATGTATTTTGATACGAACTTCAAAAATTTGTAAACGTTTTAAGGTATCTGACAAAAATTCTCTGCCTTGTTAAAAGTAGCAGGTGTTTGTTCAGAAGTCCCCACGGTCAGAGTTTTACAGATTGTGCACATTTCAAAATTATGCTACTTCTTTTTGTTAAGAGATTTGTTGATTTGTTTCCCATCAGCCCTAACATTCTTTGATCATCATGGAACCGGGACGTTTCAAACTCATGTCCTCCTGGATGTTAAACGACATATTTTGGTACAGTGGAAAAAACACGGCCATCCCTTTGTTACTAAAAAGCTGTTCTCTGTGAAAGACGACAACTATATCCCACGGGAAATCGACCAGGTGGCGGGAGACAGCCGCACAGCGATTGTCATTACCGTCGGCCAACACTTCAGACCCTTTCCCATCAACATTTTCATTCGTAGGGCCATCAACATCAGGAAGGCCATAGAGAGACTGTTCTTACGAAGCCCGGAGACCAAGGTGATAATTAAGACAGAGAATATCAGAGAAGTAAATGAGAACGCAGAGATATTCAGTGACTTCCATGGCAACATTCAGAATCTTATTTTAAGGAACATTTTCAGGGACCTCAATGTGGGCATTATTGACGCTTGGGACATGACGATTGCATATGGCAGTGAGGATGTCCATCCATCTACCAGCGTGGTTGAAAGTCAGGTAGCCATGTTCTTAAACTACATTTGCTAGAAGGTCTTAAGTACAGAAAACATCTCTGGTCCTTCCTACGCCTCTTTCTCCAATCTCATATATACTGCATAGACAATGCAATCTAACTTATGAAGAAATGAATATTGAGGATTATAGTTAAAGGTACATGACAGAAAATTTACCATTCAAAACAACTTTAACCCTACAATTTAGTGGTGCTAAATGAAGTCCTATGTCACATTATCATCATTAAATCCATCTTTCTTCATCCCAAATAGAAATAATTTATTAAATAACCACTCACCACTTGCCTTGAACCACAGCCCTGGGCATCTACAACTATACTTTCTGCTTCTATAAATGTACTGTTTTAGACATATCATGTAAATGAAACAATAAAGTTCATGTGGATTTGTGTCTGGCTTTATTACTTAGCACAATGTTTTTAAGGCTCACCCATGTCATATTTACGAGAATGCCCTCCTTTTTAAAGAGTGAATATCATGTCTTTCTATGTATGCACTTCACTTTGCTTTCCTGTTTATTTCTTAATGAACTTTTAGTTTGTTGTTGTCTGTTGGGCATCGCATATCGCAAGGCTGTGAAGAGGGGATACACACTTGAAGGCTTGCTTTCCTTATTTTTTGAATGCTTTTTTATTATTTATGTGTATTTGTGAGTGTGTCTGTTAGTGAATGTCAGATGTGTTTGGGGGTGCCTGCAGAGGTCAGAGAGGGCTTCCAATCCTCTGGAACTGGAGTTACAGGTTGTGACTTGCTGGATGCCGGTGCTGAGAATCAAACTCTGGTCCTCTGAAAGAGTGGGAAGTGCTCTCAACTACTGAGTCACCCCTCCAGCCGCCGTTATCCTTGATTTACAAGAATGTGCAGCCCAGAAACACATAGCTCAACTGATCAGAGAGAATGTAATGCATAGAAGGAAAAATTTCAGGACCACAATAGCAGTTGTCTTGCTTAGAAAAACTTGTTAAGGTTTGATAACCAGTGGTTGCTTGGATTCCATGGTGATTTAGCAGCCATACTCCAAAGCCTGCATTCAGACTCCCTGAGTAAATTAAACTGACAATTCTGATTCTAGCTGCCCCAGGAAGTGTGTGGGGGAGTCCCTCTAGGGACCTCAGAAGACTTCAGAAAACACAACTATCTACTTCTCAAGACTTGGTGTATTTTTTTTTTATCAAGAATAATTCCCAATTTGGCTTGTGTTTGTGAGTGAAAAGAAGTGAAACTATAATATTGCAGCGTTATTATAACTGTCGGGTCATATACCTGTGGACCTGCCTCTAAGCAACTCACAATAAAAACATGAAAATCCAATCTTCTTTCTTTCAGGTTGATTTTATTTTTAATTGTGTGGGTGGGTGAGTATAGGTGTGTGCATATGAATGCAAGAGCCAAGGAAACCAGAAGAGGGTGTTAGATCCCCTGGATCTGAAATTACTTAAAGGCAGGTGTGAGCTGCCTGATGTGAGGCTAGAAACTAAACTCAGGTCCTCTGGGTCTTGTCCCTTTCCTTCCTTTCCTTTCCTTTCCTTTCCTTCCTTTCCTTTCCTTTCCTTTCCTTTCCTTTCCTTTCCTTTCCTTTCCTTTCCTTTCCTTTCCTTTCCTTTCCTTTTCTTTCCTTTCTTTGTGTGTGTATGTATGTATGTATGTATGTATGTATGTATGTATGTATGTGTGTCAAAGGGCAACCTTGGGTGTTTGTCAGGTGCCCTCTGTTTTCTGGTTTTGATATAGTTGAACTTCCAGTCTCTGCTTTACCACCACCTCATCACTGGAATTGTAGACATATACCAACCACTACACCACTAAAACAAAAAGGTTCTGGGGAATCAAACTCAGGTCCTCACACTTGCAAAGCATGCACTTTCCTAGCTAAGCATCTCCCAAATCCCTCAAAAGTTACTCTTGTATTGTGCTCCTGACTGGTTCTCAATCTCCCATCGGAAGCTTCGGTATAAACCTCATGGCTATTCCAAAGATTGTGTCATTAGTTGTTTAAGTTGTCATCTACACACCAAGAGCCCCTCAGATTCCATCATCAGAGTTTTGATGTGATTTGATTTCTTTTTCCTTGCCCTGATTCTTCAAATGCACTGGAGCTTCCTTAAACCAGTTACAACCGGCTTTCTGCAGACCCCGTTCCTCACCTAACAACCTGCATGCTTTAACTGAAGCTATCCCAGAATAACTATTACTTGTCTCCCTGTACAGTTGTGCTGGATCACATGATAGACATAGTCACTTGTCATTGTTAAAATTAAAACTCAACTGAATCTTTCTTCAGGAGCCCTAGCCCCATTCTGAGGGAGCAACAGTCACAGTGGTGGGGAACCCTGCACCACAGCAGTGTTTCCTTAAGCATTTCTTTAGACAGTATTTTTCATGTTTTGTTAGAGTATTAGGGTGTTTTCAAATACAAATCTAGTGTCACCTGAGAAAATGGCTCAGCTGGAAGGCATGAGGTCCTGGTCTGATGGTAACCACCACATAAGCTGGTGGCCATGGTGGAACATACATGTATCCCAGCATTCAGGCCATGGTGGCACATGCATGTAACCCCAGCATTCAGGAGATGGAAGCAGGAAGGTCAGAAGTCTAAAGGTTGTCCTTGGCTACAGAGCAAGTTTGAGGCCAGCCTAAGCTATATGAGACCCTGTATCAATCAATCAATCAATCAACCAATCAATCAATCAATACAGTGACAGTTTAAATATTTTATGCTGAATTTAAAAAAAAGCTACCAGATGTTGGTGGAAAACTCCTGACTTTAAAGTCATTTGCTTCTTACTTATCTTTTAAAAGAAATCCTGGGATCTAAATAGCTCCTAGTGTTCCATCCTTGACGTGGTAGCTTTAGGTTACAGCACATACTGACTATGCTGTTCACATATAACGACCTGAGCAAGTCATTTCAATTCATAGAAATATTCTTTACTGTTATTATCAAGCCTTTTTGGAAAACCCATTTCTGCACAATGGAGTGAAACGAAGCTAGAAATCAATAGCAGAAGAAACAAACATCTCATGATATGTAGAAGTTAAACTGTGTGCCCTTACACCACCAGTGGGTCAAAGAGGAAAACACAAGGAAATTCTAAAACTGTCTGGGGACAAAGGAAGATGAAGCCACACACTGTCAAAGCATATGGGGCAGAAGGAAAGTGATTGTAAAAGGGAGGCTCCTAGCAGGAGATGTGGCAGTCAACCACCTGACTTCACATTTCCAAGATCTATACAAAGAACAAACTAAAGCCAAGTAGGCAGAGGAAGGGAATATAGTTTAGGAGAGAGAACGGCAAGGTAGACTATAGGATAAACATAATACAAAAGGTTGCTTTTGTTGAAAATGTAAAATAACAACAACAAAAATACCTTTTAAAGGAGAGAGGAGAGAAAGAGAAGGGAGGGAGAGAGAGAGGGAGGCAGAGAGAGCACTACATTAGAAATGGAAAAGAAGGGGCTGGAGAGATGGCTCAGAGGTTAAGAGCATTGCCTGCTCTTCCAAAGGTCCTGAGTTCAATTCCCAGCAACCACATGGTGGCTCACAGCCATCTGTAATGAGGTCTGGCGCCCTCTTCTGGCATGCAGGCATACACACAGACAAAATATTGTATACATAATAAATAAATAAATATTTAAAAGAAAAGAAATGGAAAAGAATACATTAGAACTGATGGCACAGAAATTAGGCCTATGAAGGATGACTACAGACAGTTACGTTCTGGGGCTCAGTGAGAAAGAGCACTGGCTGCTCCTACAGAGGACCCAGGTTCAATTCCAAGCACCCACACGGAGGCTCACAACCATCTGTAACTCCAGTTCAGGGGATCTGATTCCTCCTTCTGGTCTCTGGAGGCATCAGGCACATCCATGGTCTTTAATAAAAATCAATCAAAAAAAAAAAAGAAAGAAAAAAGAAAACCTTGAACATTCTGAAAATCACTGATAAGAACTAATACAGTTAAACAAAATCTATTTTAAGGGTGGGACCCTGTTAATGTCCCCTTTCCTGTTAGCGTGCTTATTAATATCGCCACTGTTTGGGTCTTGTTTAGGTATCATGGGTGTCACTTCCCTGCCATTTCTAGAAGACACAATCTCATATTAGACTTCCTGGTCCTCTGGCTCCTATAATTTTTCTGCCAGCCTCTTCTGCAGTGCTCCCTGAGCCTCAGATGTAGGAGCTATGTTGGGACTGGGTACTAGGTGGTCACTTGTCTCATCTGAGACACGCCAGACATCTCCAAATTCTCAGGTGGCAGTTTGCCCTCATCTGCCTTTGAATGGTGTGATCATCCTACCTGCCCTGTGGCATTTCTCATACGGAATGATGACTCTATTTCCTTTGGTGGCAGTATAGAGGTCCTCAGAGGCTTCAGTCAATGGCTGCTTGGGCCCATTGCTCTCTGGGCCTTTGGTCAGGTAGAATCATGATGGGGGAAGAGTATGTGGTGGGGGAAGCCACTACCCCTCTGGAGGGGCTTCAGAGGTCTCCTTTAAGATACCCCCAGTCACCAAATTTCCTTCCACTGGGACCCAACTCCTGAAAGAAGTTTCACCACCTCCCAGGGGAGCCACAGGGGCTGCATTTTAAAGATGGAGATAAACAGGCTTTTATGGGACATTCTAGATACAACTGGATTAAAAAAAAGACCAAGGAAATTGAATAGATTGTTATTCAAAGAAAGACATATAAATGGACTATAAACACATGAAAAGATGCTCAAAATCACTAATCACTAGGACAACGTAAGTCAGTACCACAATGTGATGTCCTCTCTCACCCATCAAGATGGTTGCTATAAAAGGAGCAGATGTTTGTGAGGGTGTGATGTAGAGGCCCTTGGGCATTGTAGATAGGAATGGAAAACAGGGCAGCCATTGGGGAAAACGGAGATTCCTTAAAAAAATAAACACAGGGCTTCTTTATGATATAGCAAAGTCTGCATTTCTATTCAGAAGAATCCAATGCAAGTTCTCAAAGTGGTGCTTGTGGGACAGTATGGGGAACTTACCTTTCCCTGGTACTGACTGGGCGGTGGTAAGCACTGCTAAAAGCATTGTTAGTGTTCGTGGTAAATTATTTATGTATTACAAACTCTTCTTTTGATGTTCATTTTCCTGTAATAACAAGAACATTAGAGGATGGGCAATTTGACCCTTCTATCTTGACGTTGGTGTCTTGAGCAAGTGAGTGTCAGACAGCACCAGATACCTGGGACACTATGGACATGTTGAGAAAACTACCTAACAATCACAGCTTTTACCCCAGCTCCGGAATTCACAGCCTCAGTCAGGGCCATCAGAAACCACTTATGTCAGGCTTTTAATATCATTAACCTTTGAAATTATGATGATCTATAGTCATTTCCGAAATCAGAAGGGAGCATGTTCCCTAGTGGCCTCAAAGGGAATGGGAATAAGGGTCGGAGACCAGCTTCAACAAGGATCCAGATTACCAGGGTTGGGGCATGGGGATTAGAAAAGCAAGGAGAATGAAGACTGAGTGAAAATAATAGACAGAAGCATAGGATAGTACCAGGAGGGAGTTCTAGTGTGTACTGAAGATTGCCTGCATTTAACTTCCATTTGCTTAAATACCCCGACCCCTAAAGGTAGGAGTAAAATTTAAAAAACTGCATTCACATGATACAAGGAATGAACAAATTGATTGAAGGTTTACTGTCTACATTCACAGTTAAACGTTCTGTTGCCAAAACAAGACAAACAACGCTCACACCCTAGACCAAAACATTATGTGGACAAACCACTCCCTGGGTAGAATCTGTTGTTATTTCTCTGAAGGAGTAGGAGAAACCTAGTTGAATGCTTAGACTTTTCTTTGAGGTAGAAACAGATCTACTTTATAATATCTGAAATACCAGGTCTGGATATTAGCCATACCTGTTGTCTGAACTGTTGACAATAACCTCGACAGAACTGAAGTAATTTCCAGATCTCTGACCTTTAGTCAAGGTAGAACATACCAATATTTATGGGCCCTGTCACATAAATGGTATTAAAAAGGCAAAGTTGTGATTGGTCAAATATTAATCTTGATGACTGTGACAGATTCTAAGAGACAAGGTCATGATTGGTCTAAAGCAAGTGGCGGGGAGGGGGAGGGGGTTGGCTGTGATACAAGCAGGCTGCTTGGGCTCTAATGGAGTCAGCCGAGAGACACTCTCTAGTGTTACCTCCTTCCTTGGTGTTGTAGCATCAAGCTCAATAAAAGATCTCAAGTAATCT